TATATAAACTAAATATATATATATATATATATGTATATATATATATATATATTTGAGTCTTGAATTTATTTTTGAATTTAAGGATAATAACAATAAAGTTGTTCCTTCATAAATTTGTATAATATTAATTATTATTCGTTATCTTTTTTCTAACCAACATCTAGAATAAGAAACAATAAACTATACAATTAGTACGAAAAATAACCAAGAAGGAGAGGGATTCTAACAATGATTATTATTATTATTATTATATATATAAATAATAAATAAAAACAACTCGTGATGGCTCATAATTTTTTTTAAAATAATGGCTCATAAATCCTAAATTCTATACTCTATACAAACAAAAAATTTGAATTTCTTTTTTCTTGTAGGATGTAAACATGCTATAGTCTAACATAAAAGAAATATAATATTTAATTTAAAAAAATAAATCAACAATTTACATATGATTAAACAATATACAAAATCATAATAAATCAAAATATAAAATATAGTTTTTATAATTTATCATAATAAGAAAAAAATCAAATGAACAATCAAAATAAAAATTAAAATATAAGTAAACTAAAAAATAATAATAAAATCATATATATCATTATTTTAATAAAATAACTTGATAAAATATTTAGAAACTAAAAATTGTAATATGAAATTAGTAATGCAGTTTTATGATTTATAAATTTTAAATATTTTATAAAATATCATATCTTATGAAAATTCTATAATTATTTAATTTTTATTATTAAATAGTAATTCCTACCAAATAACAATAAGATATTTTGTAATAAAAATATAATAAAATAATTTATTAAAGTTTATACATGTTGCACTGATTTTTTTTTCTTAAAATATAATATAATTAAAAGTGATAAAAAAATATTATGTCTAATAAACTATTTAATAATTTATATTTTAATTAGTTGATAAAACTAATGTATTTTTGTGTTTTTTTTTAAGTGATAATGAATGAAAAAATTAATTATTTTTTGTTTTAAAAATAATATTATAATATTTTTATATACATAAAACTTTTATTCTTATTTGAAAAAGTTGAATTTCCACCTCTTCATGAAAATGTTTTCATGGGAAAAAGAAATAAAAATGACTCTTAGAAAAGTATATTTTCTAAATGAAATTTTTATAAAAAAAAATAGCTACCAAATATAGAAATTTAAAATTTTCCACAACAAAAAAAATGGCCTACCAAACACTCCTAAAATAAATTGAAGTATTAATAGGAATGGGAAAAAAATCTACTATTGTAAAATATATTAAATGCTTCTAACCTTATTGAAGTATATACCTGAAGTTTTTTTCTTTTTTGTGAAAGGTATATACCTAAGCATACTTTAGTTGTTAGCACTATACGGATCTTCTTTTTTGTTTGACACTCTCTAATAGTAGTTACCTATAGAGCCTTTCACAATGAACAAACCCTACAATTTTTTTCTTCTACTTTTAATGTTTTGCTGGATACAAACCCTAATCTTTGTTTCAACCTTCAATAAGATATTGTTAACTATTTGGTAGCATCATATTAATATTCTAATATTATTCTTCAGAGAGTCTTCTATGGCTTGGTGGCCAGCAATTAATATAGTAATTGACGGCATAGCTGAAGTTATTTCCACAATTGTTAATATCTGCATCTTCTTTGTCTTGTGCATACAATGTTGTCAAGCATGAAATTGGATTTTGGACATTGTGTTTGCATATTCTGTGGGATATTCTCAGATTCTCTCCTTTAGAATCATCAAGCTGAATCCTGTTAACCCCATCATGCTCACTACTCACTACCAACCAAAATAACAACGACAAATTTTTGGACCACCACTCCCAAATTACAAGCACAGACATTATAAATGTGCTCAATTATTATATACTTCTATGATTTTTTTTTCAAACTGGTTTATTAATAAAATCATTTTTTTTAACTTGGTACACAGTAACTATTGCTTAATCTTTGTTTGGGATCATGAAAGCACACAAGATGGATATTCTTCTCTAAACATGATCTATTTCATACTCAAGGCCAAGATTCAAACTCTAGATATCTTTGTTAAAGGATATAAGTAGTTACCTTGTACTAACTAATATTGGTATAGATTAAATTTGATTCGAAATGAGTTTTATTTCAAAGTTCAATTTAAAAGTAATCTTTAATTTAAAACACATTATTTTAAAGAGAAAACATTTGTTTTTAATTATATTATTGATACGAAACATCTTTCATAAAAAATAATGATTAATTTTCTAACGTAAATTACGTAAAATTTAACATTTTTTCAAACACAATATTATTAATCAATAGTGTAAAATTTGTTTTAGCCGTTGGATGCATAAAAGATAAATTATTTTCTTTATTTTATAATAAAACTTGTTGTAAAACAATTTTAAATGGATTATTAATTTTTAAATTTTCATTCAAAAGAAATTTAAAATTAATTTTAAATATATCCAACGAATTGTTAACCAAACTTCTTTTTTGCAGAAATGAACTGATTTAATTAAAAATATATTTTTATTATTTAATTTTGTAATTATATAATAATTATTTAATGTAATTTAACTCTCTTTTTTCATGGTCATAAGCAAAATGGCACAAAATATATTAAAAAAGAACTCAAGTCTCATATCAATTAAAAATAAATTAAACAAAAAATTGTATCAATAAGAGACAATTCTCACCTTAAAAATTGATTTTAATAATTGAATTACATTGATAACACATTATTCTAAGGTAAAAAATTTATATAATTTGTCGATTAAAATTCCATTAAAATATTAATTTTACATAAACAATTACATTTTATTCCCACTAGAAGAGATTAATTCCGAAGTCAATTAATTGAGTTAAAGCAATGTTAACTAACTTTTGCAACAATTAAAAAATTATACCATGAGACAAGTTATTAGTATGCTGAAATAATTAAACATAAATTACTTCATAATTAATTTTCAAACACTCACATTAACACCCATGAGCTATGTTTGGATACACATTCTAAATGTATATTTCCACCTCAAATTAAAGAATAACGGTAAGCTACAATTGGCAGCTTCTTCATTGAAGTAAGAGGCTGGCCCCGAATGTGATTTTATTAAGCTAACAATTATACTTTAACAAAGGTGAATTCTTAATTCACAACATGTTTCCAAACGTGTTAGTAGTTTTTCCTGTTTATGCACTTCCTCCACAAAACCAAACACACCTTACCATCACAAACGTGGGACCAAAACATGCCCATAGACAAAGCCAACGTTGAACGCGTTTCCAAATTAAAACAAAAAAATAGTGGATTGAAGATAGATATTCAATCTCTAACTTAAATATAAAATTACAATAAGAAATATCATTTTATTTTTTATAAGAATCATATGATAAAAAAGAATTATACATCATTAAATATGTAAACTATTTCTTTGTATTGTCACCTCTATCAGCCGGCGCACATCTTTATTTCCGAACACTTGATTTTGACAAAACCATCACTACTTTTAAGCTTGGCAATTTTCTTAACAAATTAATCTAAACATGCACTACAAGTTGGGGATCAGAGAAAAACAAGAGTGAGAGAATAACAATATGACATGTATAGACTTTGTACTAGAACATGGTTACAAAATTTTTTTACAGCATGTGAAAAATCAAGGAGCAGGTGAAGTTGTTGTTGTGATGGTGTGTGTGGAGGATGATGAGGCAGGTGAGTTTGAATGAAAACTGTGATTAGCCCTTTCTTCAGAGTGTAACTGTGAATGCTGAGACACATCTAATTGCTTCATGATTGGTGGAGGGTGTGTAGCCACAGGAGCATATATTCCAGTTGGAGGAGTAACTGTGGTCAATTCCCCTCCAGATGCTGTTGAGGTGCCATATTCTGGTGGCTGCACAAAAATGTTCCCAACAAGAAACAATGGAGCTCCATGTGAACTACCATTGTTGTGTATAGGGCTTCTTCTCGTGTGCAAACGAAATTTCTGTCCAAAACAAAGGAACAGAATATCTCAAAACCATGATTCATAACATATAGCTCAAGAAAATTGAAATTAAAAAAAAAAAAAAAAAAAAAAAAAAAAAAAAAAATACACAACACT